TATTGACATCCGTTCAGCCGTAAAGGCTACAAACTCTAACAAACATCCATCCATCTAAACTTTCGCATTTATAATATTAGTAAGAAGTAAGATAAATGCAAAAGTTTAGATGAATGGTTGGACGTTAGAGTTTGTAGCCTAAACTGGTAAACGATTTTTTATGAAATTTGGTATATATGTATATTCATTATTCTGGTAGAACACATAGGGTACTTCCTTTTTTTTTTAATTCCCCGTGGACGGAGTCGCGCTCGAAAGCTAGTGCAGTATAAAACATTTAATTACCATTAAAACTATGGAAATATGAAATTATCTATCTTAGTAATATCTAGCAGCGATTTCACACAATATGAGGCTTAATGCATTATAAACTATTTTTTGTAGATATATGTTATTATAATTACCTCTTACAGTTACCAGTTTTCCAATATGTTCAGCCCTGACGTCCCGAACTGCCAATGACTTTGCATTTGAAACATCTTTAAAGTACACCTCACTGTAATTACAAATATGTTTTTAATTTAAGTTGTAATATGAGCAGATATGTAATACTTAACATGAATTTTTCTAACATTATAAATGCATAAGTTCAGATGTATGGATGGATGTTTGTTACTATGTATCTCCAGAATGGACCAACATGTTCGTTGAAAATTGCCACAAATGTTAAACATAGTCTGCAAAAACACATAGGCTACTATTTAAATTCTATTTTAATTCCATGCAGTTTTTTTTAAACAAAAGGAAAATTGGTAAAATGCAACTTACAATCTCCTGATTAGTTCTGGAGGATATCTGTTTCTGGGATCTCTCATCTCTCCAGGCATCCTGTGGTTCCTCGCCTCCAACATTATTCTGTGTTCTATGTAAACATCTAATGCATCTTTAGCTGCAACCTAAAAAAATAATACATATAAATAGATGAAAAAGATACATTGTAACTAATGAAATTACAGTAAAAACATCTTATCATGGATATTGCAAGAAAACCATCAGAAATACAAATAAAAGTCTGACAAACAATACAGTATTGCTTTACAACAAACCTCTTTATGTTTATAATCAGGTAGCATTTCATATACCAAGTCTGAAACTATATTTGTGTACCGTCTTGTGTTTTGTTTGACTGCTTCTGCAAGCTCTGCATTGGTCTCATATAAGTCATCCAATTCCACAACAAACTCTGTCTGTAAAACCATATTATATTTAAAAAAAGTCAGGACAAGAAATCAATAACAATAATCACCCATCATCACTGTACAAACCTGTTCTCTGTGTGCAACTTTTGTAAGTTGCTCGGCATATTTAAAAAACTTTTGGCCCTCATCGTTTGTTTCGCAGAAATCCACAAAGAAATTCTTTATCGTTTCTGTAAAGTTTATCGTTTCTGTTAGTAAAATAACAATATAACTACTCTACATATAAAAAGATTTTTTAAATTACCTTTGTCAGCTGCATAATCTCTCATGGCCATTGTTGAATAGTCCACTTATACTGGATATATTCGAAAAGCTTTAGATAACCTATTTTCTAATTGAATCTTTTATTAAATAAAACAGATATTCTTCGCTAACGGCGTTAAACTTTAAAAAACAAACACGCGCTACGGCTTATGTTTTTGATACTCAGTAGACAGAACTTTTGGCGCGAAACGAACGAATAAACCGTCAATTTGACAATGTCAATGTCAATCTAACAAACCGATTGTGCAATTTATTTTGTAAAATTGATCAATGCATAATTGGGAAAATGTCGCACCAATTTTAGAATCGATGCATATTTCGTTTTAAGTTTTTATTTTTAATCAGTTTAAAAATGCTTCTTTGTCAATGTCCAAAGACCTTTTTGCTGTTTAGTACTGGCTTCTGTTTCTGAACGAAATTTTTATTTCGCGCCAATAATACCGTCAATCAAACAAACAAATCAAAACTGTCAATTTTAATCTTAATCTGCGTGGTTGAGTTTTAATAATATTTATATGAGTTATATTAAATAGAAATGGAAGATTCTCTTGGTAAAGTGATAAGGAATCCATTAAACAAATGTTAAGATCCTTATCTAATGACATACTAACCAGGTATCTTTGGAATTATTTGCAGCTACTTCAAGAGCCAAACGACAAAAAGTTGATAAACACGGTAGATTCTCTGCTTTAGAAAAGCTAAAACAGCTTAAAGGTAAAGGATCTAAACACAAATATGACGTTGACGAAATGGAAAATGTTTATGACACAGTGGATGAAAAGGAATATCATGATCGTGTGTTACAAAGACAGGAAGACGATTGGATAGAAGATGATGGTAAGAATATACTTTTAAATTGATCAATATATCATACATGTAATAATTTAAATTTTTAGTTAAAACTGTCTGCACATTACTTTTAGGCACTGGCTATGTGGAAGATGGTAGAGAAATATTTGATGATGATGTTATTGAGGACACTTATGTTGCTTCCAATGGTAAAGAATCTGGTCGGGGCACAAAAAGAAAAGCCCGACTGGCTCCACAAGCAAATAGCAAAGGAAATATTAGAAATTTAATAGGAGCTATGCCTGTTAAGAAAAAAGAGGTAACTGCTATAAATAGTAATTATGATATACAAATAAGATAAAAATAACTAATGTTTTTATGTTTCTTCTCTTTGCATTCCAAACCCACTGGGCAGATTTTGATTAAACTTTAGTAAGATGTTCTGAAAATATCAAATTTTTATATGTTATTTGTTGTTGAAATATTCAGTGAGTTATTGATACTTCTCATGCTAAACTGAATGTTAATTTGCATCTCACATAATGCCTGGTTCACATTTGGCTAGTAAAGATGAAAAGTAGTGTAGTCTAGGCATGAATTGTATGGACTCAGTGGAGTCATTAATTTTTAACATTATGTCAGTTAAATGGTACTTATAATTATTGAGCACTACTGTGTGCACCAGGTATTACATGTATCTTGTACTTATATTTTAGGATGTTAAAATCTCTGATGACAATATCTTATCTGACATCATGTCAGATTTGGATGGTAGCACATCATCCACTGTTGTCAAACTAAAACCTCTGCCTATTAATAAATCCAATGTCAAAGATTCTAGCAAGAATGAAGCTCAGAATTATTTCAAAAGTCTTTCTACAGCTGTTAAGAAGCCAGCGCCAATAACAGAAGAGGTTAAAGAGAGAGATGTAAGTAAAAAATAATTAAATAATGTTATGTATTTTGAAATAATATTTAAGATGGAAAATTATTGTAAAATTTCAGGTACAGAAAACAAGTGAAAAAGTTCCAACCGATGTTCATATAGAACCAAAAGCAAAGAAACCCCAATGGAATATCAATAAAGAGATTAAGAAAGAACTTGAGGACTCTGCTACTGAGAATATAGAAGAATTTGTAACTCAAGATTTAAATTTTGATGACGATTTCAGTAACAACACACCACCTGCTACAGAAATTAAAAAAGAAAACAATACCAATACTATCACTGATGTGTCTGATGAGTTCTTTAATGAGGAATTTGAAATATTTCCATTAAAGAAAGAATCTCCTAATGAGATGAAAACAACAAAGGCTTGGTCGGAGCAGTTTAGTGAAAATCATAATGGTCCTTCTATTCAAACAGATGGACAGTTACCTTTACAGACTAATATTAATGGAGACAAAGTTTTTAAATTCTATTGGCTAGATGCTTGGGAAGATAGATTTGTAAAGCCAGGTGTAGTTTATTTATTTGGCAAGACATATGTTAATCCTTCAAATAAGCAAGCAGGTTGTGTATCATGCTGTGTTGTGGTGAAAAATGTTAACCGCCAGATATTTTTGTTGCCCAGAGAATATGTGAGTATGGATGTATATTGAATTTCGATTGGTTTTCAACACTTTTTCCCCTAAATTTCCTACTCTTTTTGTGTATCCCTGCTCTGTTAAATTAAGTTAGGCAACATTTAAAAATGTGGTCTGTCTACAACAGTTGTTTCCCTATTTTGGCATAAACTAAAGTTTTTGCTTTTTTGTCACCTTATGGTATTAATAAATCTAGAAATAAATAGATTACTTATTTATTTATAAATAAGGAAAACAATTTCTTAAAGAATCTTTTGAATTATGTGTCCAATTATTTTAGAAATTAGATCCAGTGACATTTGAACAAACAGACCAGGAAGTATCCATGATGGATATGTACAAGGAGTTCAATGAATCAATTGCCAGTGAACTTGGTCTCACAGAGTTCAAGTCACGGAAAGTCACAAAGAATTACTGTTTCAATCTCCCCGACATACCCGCACAATGTGATTACTTGGAAGTTAAATATTCAGTAAGTAAAATCATTAATATATGAAACTGATTTAGCAAAATTTTGCTTGCAACTTTGTCTATGTGGTAATAAAAAATGTACCAAACAATTGAGCTTCTGTTACTTTAGGAATTTTTAAATCAGACCAGTAGTTTTGAATTTACTTGACATATATATAAATACAAATCCTTCTTCATTTTCATATTATTATAGAAAAGCAAAGACAAATAAAGTTTCCTTTATTACACATACTTTAATAGTGAATATTAAATAAAAGTCATATTTATTTCTTGTAAAGTTGTGATGACTTTTTGAGGTTATTTCTCTTACTTTTAGGCATCTTTCCCACCACCAAATACTACTAAAAAAGGATTAACTTATTCCCATATTTTTGGTGCTAACACATCTTCATTGGAATCATTTTTATTGGAGAGAAAAATTAAAGGTCCTTGTTGGCTCGAAGTAAAGGAAGCTGAAAATGTATTAGCAAAAGTATCTTGGTGTAAAATGGAAGCATCTTGTGATAGAATGGAAAACATCAGTGTTATAAGAAATGGAATGGATTTAGAGCCACCACCAATTGTTGTTGCTACTGTAAGTAGAAACTTGTATACTACAACCTTTTGAAATTATGAAACGGGTGAAAATGTGTTCAAGTATAGTCTAATTCACTAGAAATGATGATTTATTTTTTTAATATCATTGGTAGACAATGTTATTTACTGTATGTCTGTGATTACAGCCATATAAAAGTAAAATAGTTAAGATATGTTTTTTATTTTTTTCAATAATATTGAATTTGACTATAGTAACCTTATCCGTAAACTGTTAGTAGCAAAATAATTTATCAAAAAGCTGATACTAACATTTGCTAAAATGTTTTACTTCTAGATACACACAAGGAGTGCTGTAGATCAAAAAACAAACAAGACAAAAATATTAATGTTAAGCTGTCTTGTGCATAACAGCTTTCCAATCCACAAACCACCACCAAATCCACCATTTCATCAACATTTTTGTGGTAAGTCTTAATATGCGAATATCAACACAATTCCTTATATTTAAATAATAAAGTAATACAGAAATCATCTTGTAACATTTCAGTTATGACAAAAAGCAATGAAGTATGGCCATTAGACCTCAAACAGGCTCTCTCACAATACAATGCTACAAAACTTACAAAGTGCGACACTGAGAGAGAACTTCTCAATTACTTTATGGTGCAATTCTGGAAATTAGATCCAGACCTAGTAGTAGGACATGACATGCAAGGATTCCAACAAGATTTATTGATAGGAAACATTCTAGATTTACGTATCCCAAATTGGTCCAGATTGGGGCGATTGAAGCGATCCGTCGCTCCCCAAAAGAAATTTGCGACCAAAGATGCCTTTCTCGGTAGATTAGTGTGTGATATAAAACTTTCATCTATGGAACTGATTCGTTCGAGAAGTTTCGATCTGGATACTTTGTGTGTTAGTGTGCTAAAGATGAAAGAAGGTGAGAGAGTGGAGGTAGCGTTAGAAGATATACCTCGTTTTTATGAGAGCAGCTGTGACCTCCTTGAGCTGGTCAAACTAAACATGCAGGATACCTCCTACATACTGAAAATGATGTGCGAACTGAACGTTATACCGCTCGCTTTACAAATCACACAAATTGCTGGCAACATAATGTCTCGAACTTTAATGGGCGGTAGATCAGAACGGAACGAATTTTTGCTACTCCATGCTTTTACAGAGAAAGATTTTATAGTACCCGATAAAGTATATGGTAAAAAAACGATAACTGAGGGTGATAACGAAGACAATGAAGATACCAATGTGTCAAAGAAACAAGGCAAGAAGAAAGCAGCGTATTCCGGAGGCTTGGTGTTAGACCCAAAAAAGGGATTTTATGACAAACTTGTTCTACTCATGGATTTCAATTCTTTATATCCAAGTATTATACAGGAGTATAACATTTGCTTCACGACCATTAAAAGGAAAATTTCCACAGGAACAGATGATGATTTGAGCAATTTAGTTCTGCCTGGCTCCAAAGCAGAGTTTGGCGTGCTGCCCACGCAGATTAGAAAACTTGTAGAGAGCAGGAGGGAAGTTAAAAAATTAATGAAATCCCCTGATTTATTACCCGAACAATATATGCAGTATAATATTAGACAAACCGCATTAAAGCTGACTGCCAACTCAATGTATGGATGTCTCGGTTTTACCCATTCGAGGTTTTACGCTAAACCTCTCGCGGCGTTAGTCACTATGAAAGGAAGAGAAATTCTAATGGACACCAAGGAAATTGTTCAAAAGCAAAATTATGAAGTGGTGTATGGTGACACTGACAGTCTGATGATTAACACCAACTGCTTGGACTACGATTCCGTGTTTAAAATTGGTAATGAACTCAAAAAAGAAATTAATAAAAAATACAGGCAAATCGAATTAGATATTGACGGAGTTTTTAAATATTTGCTATTGCTCAAAAAGAAAAAATACGCTGCCGTTGTTATAAGCAAGAATAAAAATGGTGAATTTGTTTTAACTCAAGAACACAAAGGCTTGGATATAGTACGTCGGGACTGGTCCCAGCTGGCGGCAGAGGCGGGGAAATTTATTTTAAGCCAGATATTATCTGAACAGGCTCCCGACGATAGATTAGAGAATATACAACTGCACTTGAATAAGCTTAAAGAAGATTTATTGAGCAATCAGATGCCACTTTCCCTGCTCACTATAACTAAACAACTTACAAAAAATCCTAACGAATATCCGGATAAAAACACCCAACCGCATGTACAAGTCGCTCTAAGGCTTAATGCAAAAAATAGTAGACGATTCAAAAAGGGTGACATTGTGCCGTACGTGATTTGTGAAGATGGGACAGCCAACTCCGCTACACAGAGAGCTTACCATATCGAAGAATTGAAAAATTCGGAACATCTTAAAATCGATTATAGATACTATTTGGCGCATCAACTTCATCCAGTCATATCTAGAATTTGTGAACCAATCGAGGGCATGGACCCGGCGCGAGTCGCAGACTGCCTCGGTCTAGACCCATCCGGCTACAGACAGTTTAATAGAAAGGAAAACACCAACTCTGATACATACGAAGTTGAGAATGAGCAAGAGAAATATAGACAATGCAAAGATTTTACATTCATTTGCATAAATGAGAATTGCAAAACTGAGAACAAAATACGTGAAACCTGCGTGAAGTTAGATAAGGATAGCGTCATATTTTTAGAAAAATGTCAAAACGACAAATGCAGTTTGAAACCAATTGATTATTTGGCTTGTATACAAAATCAACTGGCAATGCAAATCCGGCAATACCACGCTCAGTATTACGCTGGATGGGTGTCGTGTGAAGACCCCGCCTGCGGATATCGGACTGCGAGATTGCCACAAACATTCATAGGCGGATATCCATTATGTAGGCAGTGCGAGAAAGGAGTCATGTTTAGAGAGTACACCGAAAAAGACCTCCACCTTCAAATTAGTTTCTTTGCGTACCTTTTCGACCCAAGTAAACACATGTCTGCAAGTAAGTAAAAAATTAATTCCATAATAAGTAAAAACAGCAACTGCTTATTTAATTTAAACAATAATGTTTTATGATAATCCTAATATATCCTTTTTTTGTAGAAACAAAATTGTCTAGCCAAATAACATCAGCACTCCAAGTATTGAAAGAAGTCGTAGAAGATTATTTAGCCCATTCAGCATATTCCATCATAAGTTTGTCGAAGTTATTCAGATTTTTCACTGTTGACAAAAAAAGTGGAAATAACGTGTCGTGTGATCCTTTAGAAATAGACATATTACCTGAAAACGAGCACATAGATGCATTAATGGAAATGGGTGAATATTAAAGTGTTCTTGTTATAGAACTATTTCTTTAACAAAACATGTCAGGTGGTATCTTTTTAATGTAAATAAAAAAAAAATCTTTGTTTATAAATAGATTCGTAATGAAAAAATACTTTTATTTCTGTGTTTTAATTAATTTAAATAATTGTTGGCAACATCTATTCCCATGCGAAAGCGAAATCGGGAAAGTGTGAATGAATTAGTAGAAACCTATGTTCATGCGTGTTTATTAGTAAGAAATCGTATTTTCTGTAAGGTTGTTTCTGAGATACGGACGTGAAATTATTTTTTGAGAAAATAAGAAATTGATAAAATAAGAAAACCAAATATGTCAAACCATAGACAATATCCTCATGGAGAGTTGTGTGTTATGGTCCTCTTTTTAACTCATTGTTGAAGACATTTCCGTTCAGTGTTGCCAATGCTATGGTAATCGCACAAACAAATTACAAAGTCTACGGACGCAACCCTAAGGTTGTAGAGATTCTTCATTTTGTTGAAAATCTACAGTAATTCTTAGTTTTCATTGAAAAATTAACCTTTGATTAGCAAAATTTTTGTAATGTAATTTGAATAAATGATTTACGTACGATTTAAACATCTTGTAAATTCTATAAAACGAAGAGGAACAATTTTAACACATTTCATTGATGTTTAGCTAATGTTTTACATTTTTTTTAATTCTTGAAAAGAGCTACGGCCCATCGTTGATTTATTCCATACAACTTTTTAACACAATGTACACGGCCGGGTAAACATAACCATTTTAATTGGCAACACTGTTTCCAACCTCAAGTACTTCATAGTACTTTGTTGGCAGGATTGTAATTTTTGAGGTTTTGTGAGTCTTATTTTTCTTTTATTCGCCAATACGCATAAAATTTAATACGCTAGGAACTTTGTAATCGTTTCAATAATTAGTTTAACAGCGATAAAGTCTTGTAAGAAAACATCAAATCGGCGTCCGCTGACAGGTCAGTAACTCGTTTTATAACAATTTTATATAAACAAATAAATCATATTTGTGACTATCGACAGACTGCAATGATTTTATTTAAAATGAAAGTAATTAAAACTTTATTTTAAAGTGATATAAGACTTCAAATTAAATGTGGTAAGTATATAATTTACATATTTGAATGAACTATGATAAAACTGATTTTAAACTCGTTGAAATCTGGCAAAATAGCATCAAACAACAAATTTTACAAAAGTATTAAGAAGATCTATGATAATGTGTATTTGTTGATTTACAAGCACTCAGTGTCATTTATTAGGTTATGTTTTTGCTCAAAGGATAAACTCAGTGATAACTTTGATAAATGTTCTGAATCGATTACATGGAATCACTAAATCGGGGTAGTAACGAGCCTTCAAACGTAAAGGAGGCAATTTAGGTCTGGAATTTAGATAACACATAGTTATCAATACCACTTTGGGATTAGCAGTCATATTGGATGGATTTGTAAGTAAAATGTTAAACTTGTTATAAATAAAAATGTACAATTTCTGAAAGACAATGTGATACATTTCATAGTCATAAAAATGTAATGTGAACTCTTTATATGACTATCAAATATTTGCATCTTCAATGACCTCGGAAAGACATAGTATTGCAATCATTTGGACAGTTTTAATAAAAATTAACATTACACACTAAAACTTTGAGAAGACCATTAACCAAAAAAAATGTGTATTAAACTCAATTTGCATAATTGTAAGAAAAGATGTAAATAGAGTTGTGATTTAAAGCATGTTAATATTCATCAAATAAAAGTGTTTTGAAGCTTCAACTGAATAGTGAGCTTGATATTTTAGTTGATGGTTAGCTCTAAAGGGCTTCTAGTATTTTCTCTATATCATTAAGTGCCCCCTAATCATTAATCACAAAGCTTAAGGAAATGCTAAGTACAAAAGTTAAGGAAATGAGAATAAGTGTAAATTTAATGGTTTACAATCTAATAGGATAAGTAGCCAGCATAAATAGGTTTGGGACATGAATTTATGCTGGAAAATATTTAGAAATGTTATTTACCACCTTTTTTGTTAATTGATTTGAGATTCTGCTGAGGCAGATTGTATATACATTAATGTAAGGTACAAATTGGTTCAATACATTATGTTTTAATTCATAATACAGCTGTGAAAACCTCATCTATGTAAAGAACTTTCCTTGTGGTGAGATTGTAAGTATCTGTTTTGATAATTACAATTTAAGTACATTTGCATATTTAAAAAGAAATGAAACATGCATGATAATAAGTGAATTCTTCCACAGAGCTGGGTGTGGTGTTAAGGTTGAAGAGAGAACAAAAGACATTTTTTGTGACAAGTTTATGCCCATTTTATGGTCATAAACTGTGAAGTGTAGTGCAGCAAGATGGAGCTGCCCGATTGCCCCCCGGGGGCAGAGGGCTATCAAGATACTGTTACTGAAATGCCCAAGAAACCTGAAAAGGATGACAATGAGTGTACAAAGGTAAATATAAATATTGATTTTTTCAATGTTTGCACAATAATTAATTTTAAAGTTAATTTATGGATATTAAACCATTGTTACAAGTCATAGTTTATTATGTTTCTAATAGAATGTTGCTGTGCTTTTCCCAAACCTCGGACAAAGTGTTCATAGAGTTCATTATATTAAGCTCTATTATTAATGTTGGCTATTTGTGAGAGGTCTTATCTTTGACTGTAATAAAGTTTTTATTCATTAAATTAAAAATAAATTATTCATGCCTTAGCTATGGAAATTTATGTCCTTTCAAGGTTATCTCACAATTATGCCTTATTATTTTGAAGTGTCCTATCAGATGCTATTTCAGTTTTTTTTTTCAATTAAATGAAAGATTCCAACTAAATATATGTGTATGAGTTTTGCTGTAATTGATTTTCATAAATAGATTTAATCCAAGATTTATCTGCTATCAATTTATTTTAAACCCATTAGTTTTTATTTACTTATTTTCCTTACTATTCGTAAACTTCTGGAATATCTGAATCAGGTTTGTGTTTCACATATGTGAATTGTTTCAATAAGGTTACTTACTTTATGGTATAATCTTGTGCAGCGTCATGTGATGCTGATTTGAACATGAAGAGTTGATTACATTCTAAAATTGTTTGTTTTAGCATATGACAAAGAATTTTTATCAAAAATTTTCGTTCTACATTAGTAATCAAAATGACAATTTATTTAAAATACAAATTATGATTTTAGGAAACTAAAGCGAAGTAGAATTGTCTGAAAAAATGTTGGTTAACATTTTTTTGTCTTACCAAATCAAATGTTCGCTTAAAAGGTGTCAAATATGAGAGGCATTTAGAACTTCTTACTAATATTAATGCGAAAGTTTAGATGGATGGATAGATGTTTGTTATAGTTTGTAGCCTAAACTGCTGAACAAATCTCTATGAAATTTAGAATAAAATGAATATAAAAGATATAGAGGATAGTCTGGAAGGATGCATAGACTACTCACTTTGGTTTATATTTCCACGCGGATGGAGTCGCGGGCGAAAGCTAGTTACATCATAATTTGCAACAGTACATAAAAGCAAATTAGTAGCTAATTAAAAAGCAACTATTTGGAATACTTTGTTGAAATATTCTATAAATATAACGTTTTTAAATACAAATAACCCATAATTTTACAAGTGTTTTATTTTATTTTTTCAATTTGAATATTGAAATTTCAATTTCCATTTTCCGTGATCTGCTTTGATATATAAAAAGTATTCAGTTTAATACAATATTAGATGCATAAAACAACCAGAAAACAAATCATGTGTCCAATTTCTTTTGGAGGCGTAGACGCTGTCTCCAAATAAATCCCATAAGATAATGTGTTTTTATTATGCACCTATTTCTTAAAACTGCTAGAATTAAATTCATCGATTTCTGGTTTTTGATGATGATTTTATAATCATCTAGTCTTAGTTATCTAAGTATGTTTATTTATACTTCATTTATCTTGCATTCCTAAAAATAGTATAGGAATACTTACTTAATGCGTTGGCGCATCGACCCAAAGTGGGTCTTGGCCAAAGTATAAAAATAATCCTTTATAAATTATTTACGTTACGAACGTGCGCGAACATACGTGATATTAACGAGTTTGTGTTTCTCTCAAAATGGATTTATATCACAATAAACTCTGGTTATAAAGTTATTTTTGTGGGCCAATCAAAATATGCAGCTCGATGTCGTCTGATGCGAGGTTTATCGGTAAGTAACGATTACGAGCAACACACTTCTTCGGAATAAAAAAATATAAATAAACGTATAAGTACTACTTTATTTGTTTCAATTTATCCCAGTTTTTACACATGATGTTTGGTTTCCCTTAACGGGATCGCATTATTAAATATCGATTACTTTGATTTGTTACGAATTTTGTATTGTTTTTCAGGCGGAGCAAGAGTTCCAAGAGCACCTGAATAGTTTGAAGGTGAAAGTCGAGGATGGGACCACACGGTGTATGGTCGAACGGCGCGGCCGAGATGTGTCTCATAACTGGATCTACTTGTGCTACCCCTGCGCCGCTGTCTGCTGCGGGGAAAATATACTTCAGGTTTTTCCATTAAAATATTAGTTAAACTAACTTTCGCCCGCGAATCCATCCACGCCAACTTAAAAAAAAGAAACGAATGTGAGTAGCTAATGTAATATTCCAGACTATCCTCTACACAATACTCTACATCTATACCAAATTTTATCGAAATCCGTTTACCAGTTTAGGCTACAAACTTTAACAAACATCTATCCATCTAAACTTTCGCATTTATAATATAAGTATGATATGATTTATTTAGTAACTGCCGCACTCAAAGTTAAGTGACAATTGTGTGCAATATTCTAATAACAAATTAAATTTTCAGACTCATATATCGGGAAAGAAGCATAAAACCAAGCTATCAATGAAGAGTGTTTGGTCACCGACCATTTTCGACTGTCATCCTTACATACTCAAAGAAAGGGGCGTAATCAGAACTATAGGTAACTTCTACGATCTAAATGTTTTAAAACTAATTTATATTTTGCAGTTAATAATCAAAAATATTTGTTCAGCTCCGTTAACAAAGCTCAATCAGA